CCTTTTTAGCCATGTAAGTGGTACCTTTAACTTCAGCGGAAATACATTTCTGCTTTCAGTGAAGTGCCCACCCAGGTACCAACTGAATCATGTCAACAGTTGGTTAATACTTTCGTATTCCTGACCACAACAGACAGACTACAGTTATTCTGAATACTTGTAATGGCGGAGTCATTCAACTACTTTGCAGTAACACTGAAAACAAAAGTGTCCATGAAACTTTCATCAAGATTTCAGTTGGGTAAAGAGGCTATCATCCCTGTAAGTGGAAAATGAAGGAGTAGGAGACAAGTTCATAACGTTTCTTCATCAACCAGCAGATTGTTTGTTTCCTGTCAAGTTAGAAAATTGAAGGGTATTTGTATGGAACAAAGCACAGAGCAGATGAAACAACAGATGATTCTGCTTTCCTTGAAACTGTAACCCCCATATATTCCCTCTGACACAGAAAAGTAGTGTACTACTTAGTTATTTAGGAAGAGAGGCAGTCATTTCCTCTAAGAAGGCAGGATTGAGATGAGCAGCTGGCAGTGTTCATGAAAGGTAGCAAAAGAACACCGTGCATTACTGTGTGTTGTTTCATCTCCCACTTTGAATTGCAAGGCAAGGTGATACACATTTCATCATCCATCAACCCATCAAAGCCTTTAAGCAACAGCAAGGAAAAAAGAGGTTGGGGGACAATAAGGTTTCCTACGAACACATGCACCGTGTTTGTACAGACCTCACTGCAGGAGAGCAATTGATAACTTCTGAATTTTATGTAACAGTAGACTTTTCATCCCAGTTCCTCATGCTCTGGTATTCTTCAAGTGTTTTCAGTCTCTGAGTGCATGGGCACCATTTCCACATTTATCTGGGTTCCAGAGGAACCTCTCTTTTACTCTCACAGCTTGCAGAATGAAAGGCTGGGGGTAGCTGCAATATGCAGACCTGGCTGTGTGCTCCATGGGGCTTGTGAGCTCTCTGATAAACGAGGACCCCTCTGTTAATCAGCAGGCTACTAGCTTGAGGAGAAGAGTCTGTGGCAACCTAGCGTTCTGGGAAAAGTCCCTGGTGTTGTGAATAACAGACATAAAAAGTACTTGTCCTTTTTTATTATTTAATAATAACAATTAACAATTATCACTGTCATTGGCAATCTGCTAGGGACAACTCTCAGGCAGGCACAAGCTCAAGTCCTGAAATGTGTTGTCACTTATGCTTTCTGAGGAAGAAGAGAAGATAAATGTAGCTGAGAGGAATCAGTGTTGTACACACTGAACACCTCCATTGGTAATTTTTAGAGGGACGTGATAGACTTTTTACTGCTAACCTGCTTAAAGTACTGTTCTCCTGAAATACATGGGTACGCCACCTGTGAAGATTACACAGAGCACATTCACATTCCTCATTTGATTTACTGGCTTCTGCCTTAAGCTTTTATTGGGAAAAGCACTGTTAAAAAGAGAAGAAAATTGGATGAGATATGTCATCTCACTGATACTAGGCCTGTTGCCAGCACAGGAGAATGCTTTGTGCTACAGCTCTGGTACTAGACAGCTTCTAGTGTATGGAAATTCCTCGTCTATGATCTCCTCCCTTTCCACATTTTGGGAAATCTAAACATGAACTCCACTTTTTTTTTTTCCTTTCAGTGCTCAGACAAGTCATGCTTGAGAACTCCCTCTCTAAAAAAGAGAGTGATTGATATCAACTTGGAAGGGAAGAAGGACTCTGGAATGTTAAAATACATCAGGCACCAGGTACTGACTATGCCATATGCTAATTAGGGAGGCTGATACATAGATGTCAGGATAGACGGATAGACTGCAACAAGAAGGAAAATGTGTGTGGATCTCTAAGCCCATGTGAATGAAGAACTGTTGTTCCTGAATATCAATCAGTTCAGCCCTGCATGTTTTCCCCAGCTGAGTAATGCTAAATTTAAGCCTCTTAAGGTAACCCTGTCAAAGAATCCTTTAAACATGTAGGTCCATTAAATCTCAGTGTGCATCTCTGGCTTCCCATAGCGACACTTGCATCAAAACTGGGGATACAAAAAATTAAAATAAAAAAAAAGACAAAATCCACAAATGTGTTTAAATACAACCTGTCAGTTTACAGCAATAGTTTCCTTTGTTCTTTCTTGTTCAGTGTTCCTGAAGAAGCAACGGGGTCTTCACAGGACTGTTCTTTGTGAGATTTTAATGGATCTGTATCACTGTTTGTGCACCACCTTGGGAGAGTTTGGCTTTCCTTTTGTCCTTTTGTCACCAGTGATTTGGTGACATGAGTGACTAGCAACAGACTCAAGGAACTAGCCTGCAAACACTGCTCTTTCAGTGTAGGCTGAAAGCAACATTCTTCTATAGATCATTATCTGAAATGGCTGAAACTAGAGGTTATCAGTGGGTAATCTGCAGACCACAACTAGGGTAAAATTACTGAGTGTGTTGTTCACTGTGGTTAGTTTGCACAGCTCAGCTGTAAGGAATGGCTTGGGTTTTTGCAGGTAATGAGCCTCTCCCCTGCACCTTTGTCACTGCTAATCAAGGCAGCTCCTATCCTCACGGAAGAGATGTATGGGGACATCCAGCCAGCAGCGTGGGAGCTCCTGCTCAGTGTGGATGAGCACATGGCTGGAGCAGCAGGTAAGAGAACAAAACCACTTAGCATGGCTACCCTGGCTGCACAACTCACAGTAGAGCACAGGGCCTTGCAAGACAGCTTTGTAGTGGAGGACTTTTAATGACACCAAGGGTTTCTTGGAGGCTGTTTGATTTTCATAGACCTTCATGTGTTTTCATGCTCTGTACAAAAGAGGTGGTCAGAAGGATCAGGAAGGCAATCACTTCAACCCTGGTTGTGGTGGATGATTAGAGAGCATCAAAATTAGTATTTATGTTTAGCTGTGTTTCTAAGCAGAGGAAACACAGTGATTTGATCTGTCCAGAGTTTACTGAAGTATTTTGTATGTAGCCTCATGGAAATTGTTAGTACCAGTTGAGGGCTGATACAAAAACTGAGTAAGGGGATGAGAGTGGAACTGTCATAGCGCCTCTGTTGTGCTGAAAGGAAAATTCTCATGTTGCATGGAGACAGCAGCATTGCTTCTTTCATCTGGCAAGCAGAAGATTTCTAACCACCAGAAAAGAGAGTGAATGCACTTAGGTTTAAGAGTTTGTGAAAGGGATTAGATGGTGTGACTCAGAAGGTCATTTCTAGTCTTATTGTCCTGTCCAAACACTCATAGCCAGTGTGTGCTAATGCCAGATGTTCAGAAATCATGAGCCACAACCCTGGAAACTGTGAACATCCCTCACACACAACACACAGATTGCTTAAATAAAGCATAAATTAAAGCAATCAAATTTGTTTGTAAACCAATATCTCCCACAACTTTTCAAATCCTCCTCCCCCAGCACCCAAGAGAACGGCTTAAAGATTGACATCTTCCCCAGATTTGCGCACCTAAGGGAGCCATCACAGGTGTTCTTACACTGAAGATTAAATTACAGGCATTTTTATCAAAAGCTGCTAACAATGCAAGCGTTTTGAAGTGCTTCTCAGACATCACTCCCCTTTTCATCATGCTTCAATCTAGCTTACCGGTCCTTCATTTTCCACAGCTGGCAATGAATTCTGCCCTGAAGTCCATTGTTTGACTCCACGTCTCATGTTCTTCATGCTTCTCTCACTTTCCATCTGCTCCACCAGTGCACAGTGCATTTCTTCAGCCCATAGGTCTTCTCTGTGCTCTCCCCTTCATCTTTGTCTTTCCCAGGCCAAATGTGCAGACAGGAAGAGAAAGGAGCAAAATAAAGAAGAGAAACAAGCTGCTTGAGACTGCACTCCTTTCTCCCCTTCAAGTCCCTTTCTAGGGAAATAATTTTGGATACTCTTTCTCTCTCATCAAAAACTTACCGTGGCTCACAGGGAAAGGAACAAAGCTTTGCCACTCTTCCTGAGGAGTGCTAGCTGGCTGCTCCTCCAAAGCAGCCTTTGAGATACACCTTCCTCCTTCTCCCCTTCCTGAAGGGAGGGTTAAATCCATTTGAGGGTCTGTAGTAGCTTTTTTACTAGCGAGTGATTTCAGCCCTAGCATAAATTACATTTATCAAGATCAAAACCTGAAAACTCATAATGTTGCTATCCACAAGCTGGATAAAAAGAACTCCTGTGTCAGTGTACAACAGCACCATCTACTGACCTCTTCAAAGGCTTATTTCTTTTTTTTTTTTTTTTTGGTTTTCTGATGAATGCCATACTAAATACCTACACATCTGCTTGTAGCACTGCCGCAA